TAATTAGTGATGTAATGGCTTATAGTCACTGTCAAGTGTAATATGAGGTCATTTAATTGTCAGAGCATTTGATGTCAGATTAAACTGATTAATCAAGTGAGCGCACACACACACACACACACACACACACAAGACTGTTTTTATTTGCACAGAAATCTCTTGCTCTGGATTATGAGTTTGTGAGCAGCAGCCAGATGTATGTTTAAAGCTCTGTTTTGCTGCTTATTAATAGTTAGTAAGGTAGTTGCTAAGTTTAAGCATGGGGCAGGATTAGGGATATGCTCATGCAGAATATGTGCTTTATAAGTACCGTATTAATAAACAGCCAATATGTTAATAATAGGCACGTTAATAAGCAACTAGTTAATAGTGAGAATTGGCCCCTGTACTAAAGTGCTACCCCCCAAAAACAATCTATGTAATTACCATGAAAGCCCTCTTGTGGAAGCTTTGTTTTAAGAGCGGAGGCTACTGCCATGTTTTGTTCGGTGCGAGCTTCTCATTTGCGTTGAAGGCAGCACAATTCCACGTTATTTTGACAATAGGATGCATCTCGCTGTCACCACAGAAAGGGGCCTCCCCAGAGCCGCGGGGCCCCACAGCAATCCGTCATTGTTTAGATGAGCCTCAGTTTGACGGCGGGGAGTGCAGACGCGGCACAGGGGCTCGTGCCCTACTTAGAGCTCACATGATGGTGAGGAGCAGTCAGTCACGTGTGACAGAGCAGCGCACTGTATGCATGGGAAGAGCTCATGGGACTCAGAAATGCAGTGTGTTTATGAGGCTGACGGGTCACAGTGAGAGCTCAGTGTGTGTGTGTGTGTGTGTGATGCTCTCCGAGCCGGAGCTTCGTGTTAAAGCAGTGGGATGCATATAAAAAATAGACATTGACACACACACACACACACAGCATGGCCTTTGCACATTCACACACTGCTGTCTGATGTCCTGGAGATGAGAAACACACACTCCCCATCTGATGAACAGTGCTTGATGCTGCTCTCTTAAAGACATCTCAGTAGATGAACAGAGGTGATGCATCAGAGCAGAAACGCCAGCCTTGAGCTCAGAAAGTACACGAGTGTGTGTGTGTGTGTGTGTGTGTGCTTGTGTGTGTGTGTGCTTGTGTGTGTGTGTGTGTGAGTGAGTGAGTGAGTGTGTGTGTGTTTGTGAGTGAGTGTGTGTGCGTGTGTGTGTGTGTGTGCGTGTGTGTGCGTTTGTGAGTGAGTGTGAGTGCGTGTGTGTGTGTGTGTGTGTGC